AAAATATATAAAATAAACTATAAAATATATAAAATAAAAAAATATATAAAAAATATATAAAATATATAAAATAAAAAAAAAAGTAATAAACTATTCGATCTAATAAATCTTGACGGTGACAAATTTAACGATGGAAAACAAATGAAATATTACGATTAAAAAAGATTTAAAATTTGAAAAAAAAAAATTTATAAATCTAATACATCCTATCTTAACGTATCCCTTGTAAATACAAGTGAATTTGTTTGATTTTTCTTTTGTTGAAAAGTATCGATAAAATATTATATTAAAAATATGCCGAAAATTTCACGTTATTAATATAAATATATTTAAAAGGAAAAACTCTGAATATATTTATACACTTATTGTTGGAACAGTGCCGGATGATCATCCGTTAATTATTCATTATGCTTTTTTCACGTGGAAGACCGTTTAAAATTAAATCGTCATGAATCAAAGATTTTCTAATGTCTTAAATTTTCAGACGTATGAAACGGCAGATATCCCGGAATATCGGGAGCCAACTGATTTGGAGAAAGAATATCGTGATTTTCCGGAGGAGAAGTTGTGGAGCCCCAGCGAAGATGTGGATAAGTGGTTTCCGGATTATAATGTTATGGCACGATCTGTCTTGACTTTTGTGCAAGAGAAGCAGGGTGTTTCTAACGAGGAAGCCATGGAAAACGCATGTTCAGGATTTGCGGAACAGTATATTACGGATGTTCTTTTTCATTCTGAATACTTGCCAGAAGTAGCATTAAAGAAATTACTAAACAAAGAATTGCCTCAAAAATTAGTGGAAAAATGGAAGCCGGAAGATATTGTAAGTTTAATAATAATTAATTCCTTTCTTTATAACGAAAATTTTTAATTGATTTTAATCGATGATAGATTATGAATCGATCTTGAATTAAAAATTTTCAACGAATAATTTTAGAATAGCTTTTTTTCTTTTTTCTTTTTTACTAAATCGAATCGACATTTTAATTATATTTGCTATTGCATTTGATGTTGCAGAAACTTTTCGAGAAAGGCTTCTTAACTTATTGGTCAAATTTTGGTATAATTCAGAGGAAACTGCTTCCGCACAAAAATGTGGTATGTTATATTTATATATTTTAAATATTTTTCACTTTCCTTTTCCCTTTCCTTTATTTCAATTTCATTAATTTTCTCGTCTCAAATTATTCCAAATTTATTCGATACTCGATCGAATTCTATAATATCATAGATTCATTTTCTTCTCACTCGAATTCTTCCATCTTCTTCCACATTCTTTCCCCTTACATATACTTTCATTTACAATATCATTCTTTAATCGTGAAAAATTTGAAAAGAAAGGAAAAATTTGTGATTTACAGGAGGACATCGTAGAGTTTTATTACGTGTGGAAACGGACCGAAGCCGGAAGAAAACTGAAGCGTTCCTGCACCCGCCGACCTAAACGGTTCACCATGCGTCGTATTTCCGCGGAATTGTCATTGATAAAGAAGAATTCCGCGAAAAATTCCGTTCAAAAAGTTTCAAAAGCTCCTCCGAAAAAAAAAGGGAAGAAAAATAGTAAATTGGTGAGGAAAACAACGAGAGCTTCGAAAGCGAATCAGAAGAGGAAAGAAAAAAATTGTTCGACCGCTAAACAATAACGAGCAACGAACGATCCTTAATATTGTGATTATGACAGCTTTCAAGACTGAGAATCGCTTCCAAGATATTGATCACCACATTCATTTTCTTTCTTCTATTCTACGNTGAAAATTTTGCGAGATCACTTTTTCTATTTATGGAAGAAAATAGGAAGAGGAGGGAGGGAAGAATTAAATATTCACTTCAAAAACTTATTATTACCTGTCTTTGAAGATCAAAGTACTTACTAGTCATTAGCTGATTAAAAAAGATTTATCGATTCGCAATTAATTGATCAGTGTAAATTAAACATAAAATGATCTCCAAAAAAAAAAAAAAAAAAAAAAATGGGACAAAATGATCTCGTATTGTTGATTCACGTTGATTGATGTATTATAAAATTTTGGAAATAATTGTATATGTATATAATTCATTTTTAGTTATGTATACCATTATACACTTGGCTGCAAAGAATATTCAACCGACTATTTCTATTCCGTATACCGCACCATTATATTTCCTTTCCTAT